CCCCCCCTCCCTGCCTCACTCACTAACTCACTCACTCACTCACTCCCCCCCTCCCTGCCTCACTCACTCATTCACTCACTCACTCACTCACTCACGCACTCACTCACTCACTCACTCACTCATGCACTCACTCACTCACTCACTCATGCACTCACTCACTCACTCACTCACTCACTCACTCACTCACACACACACACACACACACACACACACACACACACACACACACACACACACACACACACACACACACACAAACACACACACACGCACACACACAAACACACACACACACACACACACACACACACACACACACACACACACACACACACACACACACACACACACACACACACACACACACACACACACACACACACACACACACACAATCATTCATGCAATCATTCACTCACTCACTTTTTATGAGATAAGGAATATTGGGTTTTGTGGAGGTTTGCATTTCCTAAGTGTTTCCTAATCTTATCAACCATCTGGCAGGAAAACCTACAATGCATATAACAGTACAGTCAATAATGAGACAAAAGTTGACACTGTTGTCTCATTTTTCAAAAGAACCTACTTTGTATATAATTTTTGTCAACCAATTACTTGTTTCTACTGATCCCTGAAGTGACAGAAATGCTAATCTGCAATACCATCTTACACAGAAATGTATTTAACAGATTTTTTAAGAACACATTTTCTACACAATACTAAAGCTTTCTTTACTTGACTATCACTTAAACAAAAATGCAAAATTATCGTGTCCTACACATCACTTTTATAGATATATATATATATAATTTTTTCAATTAACTTTACACCCTTTCACTCATGATTATACTACTGTTATCACAGTATTTATATTTGGGGGAAGAAACTTATTTCTTTGAAATAAAAACATCTAGAAACATGTGAAGACTCTCTAGAATTTCTCTTTTTTTTTTTTCTTTCCTCCTTATAATTTCTTTCTTTCTATCTTTCTTCCTTTTCTTCTCTCCTACTTTTACAATTACTGGAATAGACAGAATATGTGCTGTGCAGAAGGACAGAATATCCAAAACAGAGGATGAAAAGCAGAAAATCAAAGAGATACAGATAACTACAAAACACAACTTGGCATTCCGAGTCATTTTCTCTTAGTTCTTCCAACGTACAGTCTGAAAAACAAAATTATCTATGTTAACAAATTCATAACATATAAATGGATATGCATATATGGAAGTAACTCAAACATACAAAGCAGATTTATTTGAAAGATTTCTTAAAAATAACTTTAGTTAATCACACTTGTGTTTATCAAATTGCCTGTATTTTGGAAATATCCTAAATAAAGAGTATTTACATATACATAAAAATATCTATATAAAATAAAAAGAAAAGAAAAGAAAAAAAATATATATATACATACTGTATACACATACACATGTAGATCAAAAAGTTAAATAACACAAAATACATAAACTAATAAACAAGAAATCAGTTCAAAAGCTTACATCATAAAGTCTTAATAAAAAACATTTGCAAGCTCCATATAACTTACTTTTAAAGCACTCTCAGCCTTTATGTATTCTGGAGAGCCTGCTGGAATCTCCTTCATGTATTTTTCGAGAGCTTCTCTGTCCTTCTGGGCAATGAAAACCTGCAAACATGACCAATTAATATAGGAGGGCAAAACAGCACATTCTTTATTGGATTTATTATTTCTGTCTTCTTTTTATGTCTTTCCTTCACTCAGTTAGTCATTCACTCTCTTTTGTTCTTTCTCTGTCTCTTACTCTCTTCCCTATTCTCTTCTGTTCTCTATTCCTTTCACTATTCCTAACTATCTCTCATCATATATCTCCTATCTCCTTAAATCTTTCCTCCTCTTCCTCTTCTCTCTCCCTCTTTTCCTTTTACTGTACCTACAACCAAATAAAATGAAACATAGCCACAGTTACAAACCATCACAATTTATTGTTTCCTTTATCATTGTAATTATGTTTCAGTTCACCTTTACATCCACTTTTCTTTACTGGTTTGCATTCAGACTCCCAACATGATACATCTACAGTACACTAAAAATGTCTCCAAAATGTATTACAAGAAAGAAAAATATGTTCCACCACTCACCTCCACAGCAGCTTGGTGACACTTGTGATTGACGGCTAACTTCAGGCGAGTGTCCATGGAGTCCAGCAAAGCAATGTATGCAGCCAGCACCTTTTTGGGAAGAGGATATCCTCATTCAGTTGTTATCTTAAATTTTAAAAATCAACGTCTTGACATAACCATTTAACAAATTATGAAGTAAAAACATCATCCCAAATGCAAATGCCAATTCACAAAGAAAAAACAATGCAACTGATATATCATGTCCAGGACTTACATTGGATGGAGCATTGCTAGCTGCCAGGGTGTGTACTACCTGCTCAACTGGCAAGACATTCTTCACTAATCTACTAGAACCCGTAAATGCAGATGTCAGTGATCCCAGAGCTCCTCGCAATCCCTGGGAAGTGATAAATATGGTTAGAAAAGTGTGAACACCTTTTTAGTCTCTCTTATACTCCTACGGATATCAAAATACTTGTATCATATACTACTTGTGTAATGGTCTTGAATATCAAACACACAAAAAACTGTTATCTTTCAAAGTTTAACTTTGAAAATTGCTTTGATTTCTGATTACCACATTCATATACAACGCAAAAAATTCAATGATATAGTTTATCACACACACAAAAATAATTAGAGTATCTCCAGAGTAACTCACATCACACACATACAACCATTTACAACCCACAACCTTGACGTCCCTCCTCACCTTATTGCCCATCCAACTATCCAGGTCATTGGGCAAGGGCCAGTGATTGACCCTGGCCCGGCCCCTAATCACTGTCCACAGCACCTGCCTCTCAGGAATGCCATGTGCCTTCCTTAGAGCAGTGGGGCTAGCGGGGTGGGACTCAGGAGCATCCCAGTGGTACATGCTGCAGTAGAAGAGGGTGGTGAGCAAGGACTTGTCAGTGATGCTGCTCACTCGTGGGTACTCTACCAGCATGGGATTGCTTTGGTCGTGTGCGTCGGCCTCATCAATCAGGATTTGTCTCTCTTGATGGGCAAAGGGATGAGAAGTGAGGAGAAAAATAATAATGATTAAGAAGAGGTTCACTTGTATTCTTCAGTTATTAGGTAAAGAAGTAAAATGGAAATTAATTAATATCTGAAACACCTTACAGAATTTAGATCTGTCTTGCTCTGTTGTTATCCTCTTAAAGAGCTGATTCATATTAGCTTATGCTTTGTTGTGTAGAAGGGATTCTCATGAACATTTTTTCTACAAAAAATTATGATAATTCATTTCATTCTTGGCTTAGTCTAAGATAAATATAAATTGCAAAAATATGGTCGTTATGAATATATACCAAATGCAATCATTCACATACCTAATAGCTGTATATGATCCTTCACCATTTTTGCTTCATGAGACAGACCAGGATCACTAAAAGATGTCTGCAAAGCCTTCTTCAAGTTAGCCAGTTTAGTAGCTGTGTCTTTACTTGTTACAGCCATGTGATATGTTAGAATCTGGAGGAAAAGTAACACATCAAAGAATGGAAATTATGTAAGTAATCTGACTGAAGAAATACTCATAATCATATCAAAACAAATAGGCCATTCTATTATGTTCCACACAAAAACTCACTGCAGCTTCTTCATTTTTCCCAAGCAATCTGCGGAAAAGAAAAGACATTAAAAAATACATAAAACAGGTAACTCCGCTTAATATTATTCTACACACAGTAAATATCCTGAAGCCATAATAGTTCATGACCAGTTACCCTAAAATTGATAAAATCAGTTTACAATTATCTAAATGTTCCACAACAAAAACATAGCTTATCACACTCACAAAAATAATTAGAGTAATTCCAGAGTAACTCACATCACACACATAAGACCATTTACAACCCACAAGCTTGACGTCCCTCCTCACCTTATTGCCCATCCAACTATCCAGGTCATTGGGCAAGGGCCAGTGATTGACCCTGGCCCGGCCCCTAATCACTGTCCACAGCACCTGCCTCTCAGGAATGCCATGTGCCTTCCTTAGAGCAGTGGGGCTAGCGGGGTGGGACTCAGGAGCATCCCAGTGGTACATGCTGCAGTAGAAGAGGGTGGTGAGCAAGGACTTGTCAGTGATGCTGCTCACTCGTGGGTACTCTACCAGCATGGGATTGCTTTGGTCATGTGCATCTGCCTCGTCAATCAGGATTTGTCTCTCTTGAAGGGCAAAGCGATGAGAAGTGAGGAGAAAAATAATAATGATTAAGAAGAGGTTCACTTGTAGTCTACAGTTATTAGGTAAAGAAGTAAGATGGAAATTAATTAATATCTGAAACACCTTACAGAATTTAGATCTGTCTTGCTCTGTTGTTATCCTCTTAAAGAGCTGATTCATATTAGCTTATGCTTTGTTGTGTAGAAGGGATTCTCATGAACATTTTTTCTACAAAAAAATTATGATAATTCATTTCATTCTTGGCTTAGTCTAAGATAAATATAAATTGCAAAAACATGGTCGTTATGAATATATACCAAATGCAATCATTCACATACCTAATAGCTGTATATGATCCTTCACCATTTTTGCTTCATGAGACAGACCAGGATCACTAAATGATGTCTGCAAAGCCTTCTTCAAGTTAGCCAGTTTAGTAGCTGTGTCTTTACTTGTTACAGCCATGTGATATGTTAGAATCTGGAGGAAAAGTTACACATCAAAGAATGGAAATTATGTAAGTAAACAGACTGAAGAAATACTCATAATCATATCAAAACAAATAGACCATTCTATTATGTTCCACACAAAAACTCACTGCAGCTTCTTCATTTTTCCCAAGCAATCTGCGGACAAGAAAAGACATGAAAAAAATACATAAAACAGGTAACTCTGCTTCATATTATTCTACACACAGTAAATATCCTGAAGCCATAATAGTTCATGACCAGTTACCCTAAAATTGATAAAGTCAGTTTACAATTATCTAAATGTTCCAAAACAAAGCAAAATAATTACCCCAAAAAGTCAATAGCTTCAGCAAAACTATGCCGCTGTTTGAGGTAATGGACGTAAACTTGTGCAGCATGGGACCGTGTTTGCATTTCCTGTAGCAGAGGAAATATCAAATAATTTCATGAAGTCAAATTCTAACTTCTATGGCATCTTTTACAACGTTATATACTATTCATATTGATAAAATACATTAGAGAACTAGTAAAAGATATCATATGAGATTAATAAGAAGCACCTCAGTATTGTTACTTCCAAATCCCTGACCATAACATGAACAGAAATTTAATTTCAGTGAAATTTAATCATGATGCCATAAGATATCCCTAACATCAAGTGGTTAAAAAAATATCATAACTATGATACTGTGATTAATTATAACCAAATAAACTATACTACCAAGATCTAGAGATGCAACAGTCAAAAGAATAAAACAAAAGAATAAATAACTAATAACATAGACAATCATTAATTAATCAAATGTTTAAAAATAACCTTAGTAAATAACCTTAATAAACAAGTTCTTTTTAACGGTGTTCTTCATGTGCAGAACAGTGGCCAGGATTGCCCCTCCATCCATAGTACTTAAAGCCACATCAATCAACGAACATTTGTCCTCATGACTGCGGTAACTCTCGAGGGAATAGGGCTGCCCGAGAACAATACGGTTCACAGTGTCATCGGGAGGAAGTGTCAAATTGTAGCGGGAATACGAGTTCTGAAATGAAAGAGAAATACAGAATATTAAGCCAAAGTAACCCAAATGCCCCAAAGTTATGGTCTGTCCCCTGTAGTTTTTGGTGAATTTTGTTACATACAGATGGCTCCACATGTGCTCAGCCAGCAAGGAGTCTATCATTAGGCCCTACTGACCAATCCTGATTTCCCCATTCCTTGAATTGGCAGGAAATTGTGTGTTTATTTTTAATACAATTGACATCGATTCTGTTATTATTGTTATTGATACTATGATTATTAAATCATTATCAAAATCTCAATAACATTCAATACAATGATAAAATGCAAAAGACCCTTTTTCAAAAGTCAAGGAAAGAGGTAAACAGGTGAGATAGGTAGGACGAATAATTGACTCTTTGGTGACTAAGCACTTGTAAAGCCATCTATGTGTAAATACAATAAACAAAACTTGTATTACAGAGGGTATGGCATGTGTTCTTGCCAAATGTGCCGATTGGGTTAAGTCCAATATCAATAGAAGAAGAATAAGTAAAGCATAATAAAAATAAGTCAGCAAGTGTCACTTTGCATGGTATAGTACACAAGATGATGTAAAACAAGAAAGAGAAGAAGAATATTATAATAATGCTACTACTACTACTATACTAACACTATTACTACAACAGCAACTAAAACAATAACAGCAACAATAAAAAAAGAAAAAGAAAAAAAGGAGCAACAACATTAACAACAACAACAACAAAGAAACGAGAAGAACTGTAACATCAATACCAAGGAAAAGAGCAAACTGTCAAGGAGAAAACAGCAGAGAAGCGACTTACTTCCAAGCGTCTCTTCAGCTGAACAATTTCCTCGTCCTTGGCACTACACTGCAAACAGCTGGCACTCCCTTGACCTGGATATCAGAGGATTTTAACTTTTTTAAAATCTAAATTAAAAAAAAAAAAAAAATCTCAACTGCTCAAAAGAAACACTAATGAGAATCCAATATTTCGCAACCCAAGAAACATATTTACGGTGAACTTTGTAAAATGAATTGTCAAGCATAATCCATTTTCAACAAACTAAGATTCAGTTCACAATTTTCATTATCAGAGAAGCACTGTCATTTTTGTTTCATATAAAATATAATTTCCATCATTTAAAGTACCATTTTATGAGAAGAACTATAGATAGCAGATTTTCAGAAATTCAACACCATATACAATCAATGTTGAAATTTCATGGACTCTCTAAAATATAAGTGTTAAATACATATAAATATAAAAACAGAAAAATCCAATAAATTACTCATGTTTAACGATAGTAAAGAAAGTATGTGATGTGTCTGTTTACATGAGAACCTGTGTTTACATTCTGTCCGGGCGAAAACAGCCGATTCTCTTCCGATAAGGTTTGGCAGAGCAATGTTGGGTCTTTTGTTCATTTCTTTTTGTAGGGTTTTCGTCTACCCTCCCTAGATCGTTCTGTGGTTCTGATGCCGGGTATATATCTATGTGTATCACTCCATCCACATACGTGTGTGTGTGTGTGTGTGTGTGTGTGTGTATGTGTGTGTGTGTGTGTGTGTGTGTGTGTGTGTGTGTGTGTGTGTGTGTGTGTGTGTGTGTGTGTGTGTTGTGTGTGTGTGTGTGTGTGTTAGTGTGTTAGTGTGTTAGTGTGTTAGTGTGTGTGTGTGTGTGTGTGTGTGTGTGTGTGTGTGTGTGTGTGTGTGTGTGTGTGTGTGTGTGTGTGTGTGTGTGTGTGTGTGTGTGTGTGTGTGTGCGTATGTGTGTGTATGTGTGTGTGCGTGAACAGAATAGACAGATAGACAGATAGACAGATAGACAGATAGACAGATAGACAGATAGACAGATAGACAGATAGACAGATAGACAGATAGACAGAGAAACAGAGAAACAGAGAAACAGAGAAACAGAAATAGAGAAACAGAAATAGAGAAACAGAAATAGAGAAACAGAAATAGAGAAACAGAAATAGAGAAACAGAAATAGAGAAACAGAAATAGAGAAACAGAAATAGAGAAACAGAAATAGAGAAACAGAAATAGAGAAACAGAAATAGAGAAACAGAAATAGAGAAACAGAAATAGAGAAACAGAGACAGACAGAGAGTCAGAGAGACATAGATACAGAGAGACAGAGAGACAGACAGATAGACAGATAGACAGATAGACAGATAGACAGATAGACAGATAGACAGATAGACAGATAGACAGATAGACAGAGAAACAGAGAAACAGAAATAGAGAAACAGAAATAGAGAAACAGAAATAGAGAAACAGAAATAGAGAAACAGAAATAGAGAAACAGAAATAGAGAAACAGAAATAGAGAAACAGAAATAGAGAAACAGAAATAGAGAAACAGAAATAGAGAAACAGAAATAGAGAAACAGAAATAGAGAAACAGAAACAGAGAAACAGAAACAGAGAAACAGAAATAGAGAAACAGAAATAGAGAAACAGAGACAGACAGAGAGTCAGAGAGACATAGATACAGAGAGACAGAGAGACATAGATACAGAGAGACAGAGAGACAGAGAGACAGAGAGACAGAGAGACATAGATACAGAGAGACAGAGAGACATAGATACAGAGAGACAGAGAGACATAGATACAGAGAGACAGAGAGACATAGATACAGAGAGACAGAGAGACATAGATACAGAGAGACAGAGAGACATAGATACAGAGAGACAGAGAGACATAGATACAGAGAGACAGAGAGACAGAGAGACATAGATACAGAGAGACAGAGAGACAGAGAGACATAGATACAGAGAGACAGAGAGACAGAGAGACAGAGAGACATAGATACAGAGAGACAGAGAGACAGAGAGACATAGATACAGAGAGACAGAGAGACAGAGAGACAGAGAGACATAGATACAGAGAGACAGAGAGACATAGATACAGAGAGACAGAGAGACAGAGAGACAGAGAGACAGAGAGACAGAGAGACAGAGAGACATAGATACAGAGAGACAGAGAGACAGAGAGACAGAGAGACAGAGAGACAGAGAGACAGAGAGACAGAGAGACAGAGAGACAGAGAGACAGAGAGACATAGATACAGAGAGACAGAGAGACATAGATACAGAGAGACAGAGAGACAGAGAGACAGAGAGACATAGATACAGAGAGACAGAGAGACAGAGAGACAGAGAGACAGAGTGACAGAGAGACAGAGAGACAGAGAGACATAGATACAGAGAGACAGAGAGACAGAGAGACATAGATACAGAGAGACAGAGAGTCAGAGAGACATAGATACAGAGAGACAGAGAGACATAGATACAGAGAGACAGAGAGACAGAGAGACAGAGAGACAGAGAGACAGAGAGACAGAGAGACAGACAGATAGACAGATGGATAAATATACCAGAATATGTGATGGAGAAATAGGAATTCTAGATCATTTCAGTTTTCTTCCACAAATCACATGAATCTTATGTGTTTTTAGTATTCTCTGAAAAGGAAGAGGGCCTTTACCAATGAAAAGACTGCCATGAACGGCCTTACCCTGTGAAGCATTCCATTTAATTGAGACGGAGGGAGGCTTGAAGGAATCAAGCTTCTCTCCAATTGCTTTCCCAAAGCCTTTGGCCAGGCGACCACTAGAAGTTCCCTCTGAAAGCATATGGTAATGTACCAAGTTCAAAACCATTTTTGTCTTTCAAGTATAAAATGTAGAAGAATTAACATTTATACAAGGGACAAAATTATTGTTAACATTATGACTAATATCATAAAAAAACTAATCTAATCTACCTTCCCCACACAGATATTCAAATGAAACAAGGGCATTTCTGATTAGTTTTATCTGACTTCTCCAAGAAATTTGCATTCTAAGAAAAATAACTTCAAATTATCATATGAACAAAAACATAAGAAAATGCCAAAAAGAGTGACTATGCAAAACAAAAGCTCACCTGAATTCCAGTCATGGGTGGAATGTGTTATGTTGTCTGCAATACTTGTACTGCTAAGATTGTTTGCAAGAGCACCTACACTAGAAGTGGTTGAAATATTGCCACTGCTGCTATGGGAACTCTGCTTGGAGAACTGGAAGTTTGAAGATGTCCCAGTCCATGTAACTTCACACTGAAATTAAAGCAAAGAAAGATTGATTGAAAGTTTATCTAATTATTTGTCAAAGGATATCCTATTCACACAAGTGTAAAGCTTGTAGTGGAACAACAGAGGATGAAAACTGCCTCATTACTAACAGCAATG